GGGGGGGGGGGGGGGGGGGGGGGGGGGGGGGGGGGGGGGGGGGTGCTGTGTTGTGCTGTTCCTCCCCAAGCCTCCCCTGCGACTGCTAATTTTATGTAAATAATGGAGTTTAATTCACATATGACAGATGGTGATGTTGACATTGTTGCTGGTTGAGGACAGAATGCGGGAGCTGGGGGAGAGTAATGGTGACTGACAGATATGATGCAGACGTAAACACACACACACACACATGGGGAGGAGGCGTTGACAGTGTGACCTCCACCATGTCACCTTAACTGCTCCCGGTTTCCGGGGGTTAATAGGTGTCCTGCAGTCAATAACCTGAAACAGTCCTCCCATTACCAGGCAGCGAAATGTGTCCCGAGACCCATTGCAGCGGGGGCCTCCACCCTAGTTCAGCCTGACAACCGCGTAATGGTGATCTCCTTCCCTTCCCTGCTGTTTGAGCGCAGCCCAGCTCCTCTCCAGGCTTCGGATTTCAGTGGACACCCCAGAGACTGACGCATGGTGACTTTTCTGGATCCTGATCTGGGTTGAGGATGTGCTTCAGAAGCTTAGAAAATCAGAATCTCAGGTGGTGTTCTCAAGTGAGTGGTCTCGCTCACCTTCTGAACCCTACGACTGTCATGTGACTATCACCATGTTTACCTGTGGGCCCAATATACTGCTGGAAACTGGGAGACTGGCTGATTTAGACTCTAAACACTGCACTAGTGTGTTAAAATCAGCCTTTATTTTGCACGTTTTACTCTTATGGAGGAAAAGGCATGATTCACAGATACAGTTGGTAATTAAATAAGCATATCTCATGAAGAGAGACCGAATGCACTTCACAGCTGTCAGGGGCTGTAAACTGGCTTTAACAATCATCGAATCACACACTAACTTTTTTGCTGTTAATAAAATTATTTACTATTTGTTTTCACGTTAAAATGCCAGTCTATTGTAAAACCAGGAAGACAGGACAACACTGAATTGCACAGAAAGCAGTAAAAATGGTTTATTTATTAAATATACATCTATTTACAATATTCCTGTACAATTATAGCAATACAAAACAAGCTCAAAAATAACTGAATTGTCAATTTTAATATAAAGTAATAAACAGTGGTCTGAGAGGTCTGTACTACATGTTTACAGCATATAATGCACTTCAAAATAACGCCCAGGCAACACGTCTCTAGTGTGTTAATCTGAGGCCCTGGATATGTAGAACATTAGTGGAATAGCGACGATCACCACTGTAATGAAGCCACACTCCATGGGTCAGGGTCTAAAATGGCTGCTTCCATCTCTGCTTCATTATTAGGCCTGATTGTTGGCTTGTTGCTTGTGTAGCCCTCCCTCGGCTTCAGAGCTGGCTAACGTGGCTGATTCGCATGTGTTGCCAAGAAAAAAGGAGGAAGAGACATCAGGGTTCAGTGGAAACGGCCATCTACAAGTCATATTGTCGCCCATATGACTGTTGAAACCAAGGAGGAGATACAGTACCATTCTGGAAGGTCAACTGAGCACTTCATCTTTGACCTCATTTACCATCCTATGCAAGATGACCCTTACAGCACGTCACATGACAAATAACTACACCATAAATGTCCATATTCAAAACATGACAACAATAATCTCCTTAAGTGGAACAGGAAGATTGAACTGTGTTATTCCAGTTCATTCTGAATTTCCAATGGAGACAGCTGCTCTTTTTAAATGCAATATAAAGGCGTACCTCTTAGTTAATACTTTAAGCTAACCATTATTTATAATTTTCCACCCAGGAGGCAGGACTCCCACCACTCACATCCTACAGACTCCAGCTAAGTTTGTCCGCCTGCCGGGTTCACAGAAATTATTTTTTGCTATTACCCAGAGTGCAGCAGCATTCTTCGAAATCTAGCTATTTATAAAGCCGTGCATTTTACTGCCATAATTCCAGTTTTGTTTTTTGTTTAAGGGTGAATATGGATCACTCACTTCGGTCAATTCCGTAGTCCCTAAAACTTTGCCTTTGTAAGGTAGTTTAGAATTTTTACAGATGGTTATATGCATTTCAACCAAATATACATATTTATTTATTTTTCTACAAGTGTTTTCAGGTAAAGGGCTTCATCTACACAAATAATACAAATAAATTCTTTGAACGCATGACTAGAATGGAGTTGCGTGTAAATATGAAGAATAAACATGGCAGCATCAGAGCTGAGAATAGCCAAAAACGAAACTGACATTTTCATGTAAATCATTTTGAAATGGTGAAATTGGATTTTGATGCATGTTAATATCAGACCTCAGACAAAATCTTTTTTTGCTTCATTACATATTCAGTTTCAAGCCAATAATACGTATAGTCAAACATCACCATAGCGACCCAATCTGTGTCAGGGTGTGCGGATTGCAGAGAGGTGAGCTCTCTGTCCGAACCCCATCTGTCTTTCCACTTCCCAGGGTCGCAGGGAGCCAGATCCTGCACTGGACTGCAGGCAGTGTGAGCAATTCTGAAGATCATATCTTTGGACTGTGGGAGGAACCAGGAAAAGCATGCAGGGCTGGATGCCAGTAAATCCTATTGGAAACCGTACCATAATCACATGACTCTTTTTGCCACTCCTCCCTTCCCTGTCCTGTTCAATATGGAAAGTAACATTTAATTTCATTGTGAGCCCCCATTAGGCTAATTCTGTCTCCCCCACCCCCGTGATTCCGCATCACCAATCGATGGCCCCTGGGATATAACACCCTGGGTCGTTCACCCTCAGGACCGCGCGGCTTACCTCACCATGGGCTGTGTATGAATTTCATTGCCGTGTGTGTGCTCAGTGCAGCGGTGTGTCCGTGAGTGGCGTAGTGCCCCCGGGTTTGTCTGAGGTGCATCATCGGCCATCCGGACACGCCCCAGCCAGTCATAGTCACCCAAGTTATAAACAGGGCAGAAAGCATTGGATACCCAGACACATAGCAACATGAAAGACTGTGTGACTACAGTCTCAGGTTGCAAAGTACAGTGTCAGCTTGTTCCGCAAATAAACACATACATATTTGGGGGGTTGGCTTCATTACTGCAGCTTGTGTGCAGGGGGCGGATTAACCGACTGACATCAGCATGGACAGTGAGGTGTTGCTGATTTAACTAACCACTCCATTTTTCCAGGAGGTACAACCCGGGATGGACTTGGCATCAATCTGGCCCTGGCTGTGTGGGCTGCAGGGCGTGTCAGAGTGGCCCCACCCTCTCTGTATGCAATCACGTTCAGCCCTCCGGTTGGCCTGCCTCTGATCTCCTCGATGGATTGCTTCATTCATTCTCACTCCATCCATCCGTTGTCCAATAAACATAGCAAACCGATATTTTAACGAAAATGCAACGGAACGACGGTATAAACTGGGCAGCGACTCACAGGTGACGTTTATTACAGGTAAACAAGGCTAGGGCACAAATAAAAAAGGAGAAAAACGACAATAAAAAACAAAGTTAAAAAAGTGAAGTGTACAGAGGGAAGGCCACAGCAGTGCAGGCTGACAGGGGAGCGGGGGGAGTTCAGATGGCAGAGGTGGGGGTGTCCAGCTGCAGCAACACCACGCAGAGGCTTTGGCAGGTACTGCATGTGCTGGAGGTCCACAGCTAGACTGCTGCTTCCTCCCCCTCATAACACAGCTGTGTTCTTTGGGCAGAATAGCACCCCCTGTGTTAGATGAAGGGTTTGCGCTGATTCCAGGTAAATGGGGGTTTGACGGCTGTGAGTACAGAGTGGAGTCCTCCGGTCTCTGCCTTTTATAATGCCTCTTTTCCGATACGTCTTGACTCCAGGCCTTCAGGGGACCGTCTGTCAAGAGCTGTAGTGACCGCATTTTCCGACCTGAAATGGTTCTAGAGATGTGTCCGTGAGGCCACCAGTCAGGCAGGGGCACTCGAAGCCACGCGAGGGCCCCACATTTCCAAACCAGAGCAGTTTTGACCCTGTGTCCAGACAGCAAGCAGCACATGACCCAGGGCTCCTTCGAGTCAGACAAGTGTCCAGGGAGCTGTGTCCAAGGCACCATCGCAGCATCATGTCAGCCTGCTGTCCTGCTCCAAACACCCAGGAAGGATCATGCCTCCTGGACTCAGAATGTTGTTTTGCCACATGCAGCGCCCTTGATTAATTGAGGCTTGCTGCAGATTTCTTTTCAAATTAATTTTTTCATCAAACTGGTGTTTATGACGGTTTGGTAATCCTGCCCCCCCCCCCCCCACAACCCTTTTATCACAATATCACTTTCATTCAGCTGACAAAATAGCCTTCAGTGCCATACTTTAGGAGAGTGATACCTTTGGAGCAGTAAGTGGGGTGATTTCCCAAAATCTCCAGGGAAAGAGTTCCCTTCTCCAGTCACTCTGGATGCCTGGACACGTGGGCAGGTGGCTGGCACGGGCGGGAGGGCTTGAGCAGTTTGGGAAGGGCAAAGAGCAGCGTCAGATGTAGTACTCCTTGCGGTTGTCCCGCACTGTACTGTGCAGGCTCAGGTCCGGACGGTATACCGGCTCCAGGCCCCGCCTCTGCTCCAGGCACCGCCTCTGCTCCAGGTCCCGCCTCTGCTCCAGGTCCCGCCTCTGCTCCAGGCCCCGCCTCTGCTCCAGGTCCCGACTCTGCTCCAGGTCCCGACTCTGCTCCTTCTCTTTGAGGCCGGTTGCCCGCTGTGCCTGCCGGTGCTGGTACAGGAAGCGGCTCATGGCTACCACCACGCACAGAGTGATGAAGACCACGGCTGCAATCACCCCTGGTGACAACAATAGCAGTTTCCACTCACTTGTTATGGGTCCGTTTTATGAATTGGTTCGTGCCAGTAGGCCAGTGTGGGCAATATAATCAAAAAGCTATTTGAAATCTGTATTTCAGTTGGTTTTTATAAGCAGAGTTGTGAAGGTACGGATACTGAGTGAGTGTGTTTACCTCCAATCACTGCCGAGTCCCTCTGCACTGCGTTGGCGAGGTGCTCTATGCCTCTGTCAACCTTCTCAGAGTCTAACCCCAGAAAATAAGACGGGAAGTGTGTGAGCGGCTCTAGAATTTATAGTCAGGCACTCAGTCAGGCATGTATGATGAAATGACAGCATCCATGGGGAATATGCTTCAGACCTGAACCTGGCCTTCATGTAGACATTGATTAACAAACACATTTACATTTTTATCTATTTAGCAGATGCTTTTATCTAGAGTGACATACATTTTGAGAAAGCAGGGAAGGCAGTTCCTGGAGCAATTGGGGGTTAAGGAAGTTGCGCAGGGGCTCAATGGTGATATGATTCTGCCGGTTCTAGGATTTAATCCAGCAACCTTTTTATCACAGGCACAGCATCCTAACCCACTCACTGCCCCCAAAAACAATTGAATAATTGCTGTACTCCTGTGTTTCTGAATCCAGTCCTCATGAGCTCCCAGACAGTTCACATTTTTGCTCTCTCCCAGCTCCCACTGCTGTACTCAACATGGATAATGACATCATGACACATCAGTAATCACATAAGGGGTGAAGGGGGAGTCAGCTTTGTGTCTGAAACGTGTCTCTGGGGCATCACCGTCGACAGGACAGACCTGAGTGGGAGTGTGACGTGGTCCTATCTGCCTGCAAGCCGCAACTGGCCTCCTCCAAACGGCCCCGCACGCTGACCAATGAGCTGCCGCGGTTCAGCAGGGCTGCCTTCAGGGGCGCCACGTGATTGAACTGAACTGATGACAGGCAGCCGACAAATCCCCTGGATGCGGCCTGCTGCACTTCCTCGTCCATGCCTATGCTTCCTGTTGAGGGACAGGCGTCAGGCTGGCAAAGTCTTGCCTGTTGGCATTTGAATGGTTTTGCACCGGTAACGTTTATGGGGGTTTATAAAACGGATAGGAAGCTCATGGGAGCATAAAATCCCACCTGTCTCCAAGAATGGAGAAACCCGTAGAGAGATTATGTATCATTTAATCGCTTAGCAGGTACTTGACATGTGTCACTGTTATTTCACTTTTTGCCAAATAGCCTTAACGGGCCACGTTTCCATGTGGAGTCCCGCACTGTACTGAGTGTGATCGATCTATAATTCTACCGTTATTTGCATACATGACAAACATATTAATAACCAGAGAGACTCATATGCCATCAGCTCCCTGAAGTTGAGACAGGGCCCCTACTCAGTGTTAATGAGCTCAGTATAGTAACGTCAGGCAGATGTCCTCGTACTTTTTCACAGCTTTTTCATCAGATTCTCTTACCTGACACTCTTCCCAAAGTGAGAGCCCTGATCGTATTCAGATCCGTATCACGGGACAAGGTGTATTTTTGGTTTGTTTCCTTGTCCATCTGCAGAGGAAATAAGATGAAACATGTAAATTAATATTTCAATGAAAACATGTATAGATGTACACTCAAGAATGTCACACACCTTTTTTCGCATGTGGAGGTGAGTTAAGAGACTACAAGTGGGTAACGACCTAGCTGGCACTAGTAACAGCTTGCTGTTGTGTCTGGACTTGGGACTGCCTCCAGTCTCATGCTGTAACAGTTGGTCACAAAACTACTGTATTTGGTTTGCCGTTAGGAGCCTGATAATCCACACCCACTCAAAGGGATCTGATAATACACACCCACTCAATGCGAAAGAGCACTACATGTATCTGGAGTGTGTGGTAGGGTTAGTATACTCACTGTCCAGAATGATGTCTGTGTTTGTGCACTTCATATTGTGAGGTCTGTTTTACTTGGTCAGGTAACACAAATCAGTTTTCACAGAGAGATTTCTAATGGTTGCTTCCATATTTTAAATTTATTTTTGTAGACTGAAATAATATATTCTATATATAGATGATGCTGGGAAATATAGGTGTTGTGTTATGATTTAGCATCTTTTGGTTATTCAATGTCTTAAAAACTTCACATGAAATGTGGGTCTCATGTATAAGGCATCTGCTACTGAAACCTTGCTGACAGCTTGTTGTTGCAGCCTTGAAACAAGCTCTGTGTTTTAATTCTTTATTTCATTTCTGTGTTGAACTCTCCATCCCTGTGCTAGATGACAGCACCAGTGTCTCTCTCACAGAAGCACTCTTGTCAGTCTTGGCATTGATCTGGTGATCTTCATGTGTTCAGAGACCTTGTAACAAGTTTCACAAACAGTTTCTTTTATCTAAGAGCCTCGCAGCTTGAGCTTATCAGACATGGCTGTGAAGCTGACGTGCTTCATCGCTGATCCTTAGTGGAACATTTTTCTTTTTATTTTTGTTTTGCTGACAAAAATTATGGTTGTTGACATTGACATCTTTTTTAACTGAAAATACCTTGATAGGAATTCGGCCATCATTTAGGATGTGCTTAGATAAATTAACCTACAGAATATTTATTTGTTATTAAATCTGGCTGAAGATATTAGTGCTGCTCATTCGTCCTGCTCATTCTTTGTACACGCATGTGCTATCTTGCCCTGATCACCGCTCCTGTTGATTTTGTTTTCCTACATTCAGGTCCTCTCCTAACTGGTATCCCAGCTCTCCCAGTATGACCGCCCACCTGAACGTGGATGTCTTTTCCTTCTCGGTGGATGCGAACTGAGTGGAGCTGCCCATCAGCGAAGTTAGCTGGCACTGGTGTAAAAACATCAGGCTTCCTGTCCTTGTCGAGCCGGTACCAGATCTGCAAGCTTCCTGGAGGAGCAGGACAGAGCTACAGCTTTTTACACAGACCTTGAACAAAATGAGGCTGTAAACATAACCAATTTCCAGCAGTGGTGTTTACCTTTACTCAAACTATGCATATGCAGGGGCCCCCAAGGCCCCCTATTGGCCAAAAACAGTCAGTACACTAGGGGATGGGCCCCAAAGTGGCTCTTTTGAATGGGGCTCCAGAAACGGCAAACCGGCCCCTGTGTATTTCCCAACTTGCTCCTCCCTCTCTCTCCCTCACTTGTTCTGTTACTTTGTTCACCAGCTGCCATTCCTCCTCCAAATTATAAAAAACTCCATGAATTAGAAATCACAATGGGGTAAGGAGAGTGAAGATCTGAGCACATGTGCTTTGGAAATCCCACCTCCCAGCTTGTTTGAGGGAGGCAGTGAGAAGCAAACATCACCAGCCGATTCGAGGTCGAGGACGTTATGAGACCCAGAGAGCTGGTCCCATGTCATTAAGACAGGGAAAGGCGGTGATAAACCCAGCAAGCTGTCATCATCGGCAACATCACCACGGCCTCATCCTGTACATCTAATGCTTTCTGAGGTTGCGGGGATCTGACAGCTGTCTGTGACTTATGAGGATGCCAACACATATTTACTCAAGCGTGTGTACTGAGCTCACTGTTTTCCAACCAATCTAAACCTGTATTCCCAAAATGGCAAATGGCTTGCTAAGTGATTAGTCTGATTTTCCCATGCATGGGAACAGACACCTCTCTGCTCAGTTGACATTCATTAGCTTAACCCCCATTTTCAGTCAGGTGTTACCTATATACGCAGACAAGTATCTTACTGAACTCATTCAAGCTGAGTATCCTGATCGACGGCACAGCTGCAAGCACACAATCTGGCAACCTTCATATTGCAGGCTGGGCTATTTATCACTATGACACTGGAAGACCTACAAAGAGATACAAGCTCATGTACCCACCTAAATCCTATCCATCAAGGAACCACATGTTGAAAGTTATTTCATGACACAATGAGTCAATAAAAAGAGATGGAGGAAAGATTTCTATTTTCAAGCCATTAGTATTCCTTAAATCCCTTCAAAGAGAAGAGCTCCAGTCTAGCTATACATGCACACGTATACACACTCACTCACACTTGCACACATACTCACTCACTCTCTCTCATTCACATACACACACACCCACGCACGTACACACATGCACGCATGCAAGCACACACACACACATACACACATGCACGTACGCACTTGGTCACACACAAACACACACCCCCAGTCCCTCTATTAATATCTTTATGGGGACTCTCCATTACTATGGGCATAACCCTAACCCTTCAGTAACTTCAACCCCAACCCATCCCTAACCTTAACCATAGGTTTATGGGTAACCAAACTAAATACAAGACTTTTCAGTTTTTGATTTCATTCAGAAGTTTTTATAAAATTAAAGTTGACTTTGTGGGGACCATAAAAGTGTCCCCACAAGGTAAAAAGTTACAGGTTTTTATCACATTGAAGGGAAATATGGTCCCCACGATGTAATAATTACACACACACACACACACATTCTCTGCTCCGACCTGCCTTGTTTCCTCTTTAGAGAACATAAATAAATTTTAATTTGAGGGGATATTAGTGAAAGATTCAAAGGCTGAGAATGGACCAGTAATCCAGACAGAAGAGTTAGGGTTAGGGTTAGGCCGGCTGCTATCCTGAGTCATGCAGGGCAGGACCGCAACACTGTCGTACCGTTCTGGGCCAGAATGATGGCCATGTACTGGCCGTAGAAGGTGCTGACGGCTAGTAGCATGGCCGGGCAATGGCTGGTCATGAAGCTGAAGGCCACGTTCTCCCGGGACTTGCCGCTTTCAGCGTAGACAGTTGGGGACTGGGCACTCCTGTTGTGCATGACGGAGAATGGCTCTTGGAAGGTGTAGGTCACCGAGGAGCCAAGCTCAAAGGACAGGGACACCTCTGTGTCCAGGCGGTGGACAGGTGCAGATCGGGAGGGTGGGGGGAAAGATTTGACAGGGGCGTTATTCTGAAATGTGTCTGGACAAAAACCAGACACACAGCCTGCTTTAAGGTCAGCATTTCTAAAGGAATCCTCTTATCTACTATGCAAATGTGGCTTCTCACACAAAGCAGTGACTCAAAACCAATATCAATGATGATCTTAATAATCAGCTGAGATTAAAAACAATCGATACAAAAAGGTATTTCTGAATTTTGAAAGAGAACCATATTACAAGGATAGAAAAGGCCCATATTTATTTACATGCACAGACTGCCATTAAACTGATGAGTGGAAGTGGTGGCTTGGGACTAGAATATGATAGCAATAGGAGGCGCCCAGGGATCTGAGTTTTAGAATCTCATGGAAAGGGGTGTGGCCCGGGGTGCTGGTTATAATACCTACAGCTTTTCTTTTCAGCGTCCTTCCTCAAAGCATGTGTGGGATTATGTGTGCATTATTTTGAAAATATTTTTCAAATGCTTCATATTTTCATAACATCTTCATTAGAAGTCATGGAGAGGAGCTTAATGCTGCATTATTCAAATAGTCACCTACAAAGGATAGCCTAAGCATTGTGTGTTTACGCCGCACCCTGTCAGGGTCAGGTAGCTTTAAAAGTGTGCTTCTAATCCCTGGGGATACTCAATAGAAACATTTTAAAAGGAGAGGCTAGAATTTAAGGACAGACTGCTAAATATGGATAATATCTTTGCTAGACACTACTTAGCGACATGCTAGCAGAGCACCTTCGTTGCAGTGAGGCCCCCCATAGGCGGAGTGGGTGCAGTCACAGGTGTAGCCGTTGTTGCTCTCCATGCAGCGACCCCGGTTGTGGCACAGATTGGCGTGACCGCTGCAATGTCCCGGGCAGCCACTGCTCACACCAGGAGTCATTTTGGCACGCTCCTCTAGGTCCAGGGTCAGCCCATTCATGATGAGTGCACGGACACAGCCCAGAAAGCCCTTCTGCCTGGAGGCGGTGCCCCCTGCAGGTCGAGGGGAGAGTGGCCATTTAAGACACTCAGGGAAAAATCATTCAGGGATTCGGAGCCTTGTGCTCCGTGAAATAAATCATTTTCCAAGGAACTTTTGAGCACAAAGTCAGCGAATAGGAACACAAGCCTAGGAGGCAAAATTAGCCTTTCAGTGAAAACAGCATCAATCATATGTAAGAAAAAAAGGTATTCATAAATGCCTCCAACCAGGAAAAGTGTCTGTGGATATTTACTGATTTACTGCACTGAACAGTTCTGCAAATGCTTCTGTACAGTGCGACTCTGCTATTAAATCATGGTAAACTGTTGAATAGTTTGGTACAATTTTTTTACTGTTCTCAGGTTTTTATGTTTATTCGGCTGGCTAGCTCTCAGCTCTGGCAGTAGGAAGGTTTTCCCTGGGACTCCAGCACCCAGAACCTTCTGCAAGGTTACCCTGTACACCACCTGCTGAAAACGGTCGACTGCAATCCTGAAATTCCCGACCAGGAAAGCGATTGATTTTGCAACAACTGACTCACTCACCCTCTATAAGTACTACCTAACTAACTACCTGGGTGGGTAAGGGGATTGGCATTTATCCTTAAGGCAGCTAGGGTGCGTACCTACTCTAGTACCTTAAGTAAGAGAAAAACACTGTTAACTAATTACTGTTTTGTTCCTTTCTTCTCCTTGTTTTTTGGCTTTCATTCTTTCTTTTCCTTTTCCCCGTTTCATGCACCATTTTGTATAAATGATGTAGTACTGTACTCACCACACTCATGTCAACTACCTTAGGGCAACTGCGTCATAAAAGGACGCCTAAGGGTCCTACCTACAAAGAGCTGGCTGCTGAGCTGCATGCGCAGGTGGCCATCAGGGGGCGCCTCGCTGTAGCGCAAAGGCAGCTGGTCCACCTGCAGTGAGGCTCCCTTCACATGACGCTCCGCCCGCACATAATGCCACTGCTTGTCATTCAGCGGCACATGGGACTTGGCTACCAGGGCTACTGGGCCATTTCCCACGTTGAAGGTGAAGTTGACAGCGGATGGTGCTGTGGAAAGGGCGGGAAAATAATCATGCAGGAAGGCAAGTCACTCCCCAGCATTTGTTAAGCAATTAGAGCCAAAAGATAATTAAATAGATATCATTATCTCCTCGTTTGTTAATTCTTTGCTTGGCTGATCTCATATTTATACCGCTAGGAAATGTTTTATACTTCTATAACGGATGAACTGGGCTGAAAAAAATAGAAAGGGAATGCCTTAGAGCGGTGCAGAGAGAAAGAGCAAGCTCTCTCTGGATAATGCTTTATTCCTGCTGTAGAAAAAATAAGATCAGAAAGAAACTCCTGACTCACAGCTCAGCTCCACACGAAAAAAGTCCTTAATTCCCATGTTCTCCAGGAAGACCCCGGAGGGCGCAGTGGTCTTAAAGTAGAAGGAGATGTCAGCGCTGAGCTCAGCCTGGAAAGTCGGGAAATGCAGGTAGGAGGATTCCTGGTAAAAGGATGCAGCATTCCAGAAGAATCCTGGGAGATGGAGAGCACAGTGAAACACAAACAACATACAATCACGGTCATTTTGACAGTGTAGCAGTCTGATCTGGAGGATTGTTAACTACAAATTGTGTCTGTATATTTTTAACCTTACATACAATTTAGCCATCAGCCAATATTATAAAATAGAAATAAATTACAAAATAGATTTTTTTTTTTACAGTCGGAGAGCAAAGTGCTCAGGCTCTAAAAATAAAAACCAAAATCGAAGCATTGCTTTATATTGTTTTTTCCTCAAAGAAGAAAAAAAGAGACCACCTACTATCACCGTGGCAACGCAGAGGCCCAATCCTGTAGATGGCTTCAGAGTCTGTCCGGTTTGTATCCCCAATTGAGATTTCGCTCACTGGCAGGTGGTCTTTGTAGGAGAGTACCCCGGTATCATTGGCCCTGGAAAGGGATGCAGAGATTCATAGGGAGGTTTTAGAGAGGGGGAGTAAATGTAGTAATCCCTCCCAGCGCTCATCCCCCGCCCTACCCCCCAAAATCCCTGCATTCTCACTCCAGCTGCATCTACACGACAGGCAGAAAGTGTGTTTTGCTTGACAGGGTCTCTTGAATTTCATCGGATGTTTGCTTTGCAAATCCGCTCCCCAGGGGAGTAGCCGGGCCCTAAATTCAATGGTAATGACAAACACCTTGCAGCAAATACTGACAGCAAGGCTAGCGGGCACACAATCTGCTTATGAGCGAGGGAAAATCACACTCCACAGTGGGAGTGTCGCTGAGGAAAGGCAGGCTGTCGATACGGTAAATCAGGACGAGCATTAAGTTGTTTGCTCTTCTCATTTCACCAAAATGGTGGTTTTTCATGGTACAGGTCTGAGAGAATGGGGTCGGAGCCTTGGCTGAAGGTGCCTGGCCACTAACAGGCACATTGGAGGGCGACGGCCATAAAGCAGCATACTCATGGCTCAACAATCAGCAATCTTGCACAGCCTAAAGCCTGACTGCACCTTGGAGTAAAATCTGCATGATGTCCCACTTGAAGGTGCTTCCATGCTATCCCATATATCATATAGGACTACAGAGCATATGGCTCATATGCATGCAGTATCATGTGACATGTCGGACAGGTACAGTATATGCTAATGTTAAAGCTTCCCCGAAGATGGTATGTAATGGCATTTTCGTTACCATGACTCCCGATCAGCGTCGCAGTTGCAGAAATAGTTCATGTCCAGGCAGTTCTCCTCCAGGCTACAGGAGCACTGCTGCACGCCGGGCAGCGCGCCGCCCCAGTAGGTGTGCCTATCCCCGCTGCGGTCCAGCCACCAGGACAGGAGGGTGCCATCTGGAACACAGAATGAGCCCCGGGTCACAGACTGTCATTGCTAACAGGCTAACCATAGGGCAGGGCTGTGTTCTTGGTACATGAGTCCAAGCTGAAGTTCCCTCTGCCTTTAAACAGGCAACCGGGACATGTGACATACCGTGTGTGAACAGAGAGGGCGCCAATGACTCCTAAACATTCACACATTTATTTAGCAGAAGCTTTCGTCCAAGGCAATGTGGAAGCGATCCAGATAGAACAACAGAAGCACAGTACTGACAAGGAGCCAACTGGGCACAAGGGCAGCTATGTTTCCAGTCAGTGACAAAAAGCAAGTGCATGTTAGCATTGGAGCAAGAGCTGTACAATACAATACAAAACACTGAAAGAAGTTGTGTGTGTGTGTGTGTGTGTATGCGAGTGTGAGCAAGTGTATGTGCATGTATGTGCGCACGTGTGAGTGAGTGTGTGTGCACATGTGACCCAGTATGTATACGAGTGTGAGAGCAAGTGTGCATACGTGTGCATGTATAGCCAGAGTTTCTCTTTTAAGGGCTTTAAGGAGGGGCGGCATGGTGGTGCAGTGGTTAGCACTGTTGCCTCACACCTCCTGGGTTCAAGTCTCCGCTTGGACATGTGTGTGGAGTTTGCATGTTCTCCCCATATCATCGTGGGGTTTTCTCCGGGTACTCCGGTTTCCCCCCAAAGACATGCAGAGGCTGATTGGAGTTGCTAAATTGCCCTTAGGTGTGCATGTGTGAGTGAATGGTGTGTGAGTGTGCCCTGCGATGGGCTGGCCCCCCATCCAGGGTTGTTCCCTGCCTCGTGCCCATTGCTTCTGGGATAGGCTCCAGACCCCCCACGACCCAGTAGGATAAGCGGGTTGGATGATGGATGGATGGATGGGATTTAAGGAAAGCTAATGCCTCAACAACAGAAATCTTTCCTCCGTATCTTTTTATTGACTCATTGTGTCACAAGATAACTTTAAAAATGTGGTTCCTTGATGGATAGGATTTAGGTGGGTAGAAACTTGTGTCTCTGTGTAGGCCTTCAAAATATGAAGCTGTTTATAATGCATCATGGTGACTGCTTTAAGAAAAATGTTACCAACTTTCTAAACACGCATTTCTAAGTCACCTAGATCATTAAAGACTGCTGCAATATTTTCCATTTATCCTATGTATTTACATCTCGCTTGCTTGGCACTAAAGTGGACAACAAGAACATGAAACCAGTGCCGCGACCAGATAGTAAAACGGAATGATGGCACTGTTGGATAAGCAGAGCTCCCTTATGGCTTCGGCCTCAGTCATTTTAAAAAGCCAAACACTAGTAGGCATCGATTTCCATTCAGGCAGCATTTGATGGTTGATTCTGCATTTAGCTTCACCTCCTAATTTCTTTATTAAAGTTCACTTCACGTTTGATTTTCCATTAATGCCATTTGCTATGATGTCTCAGCACTAAGTACCGCTTTGTTCCAAGAATAACCGTACGATCCTAATAACTCAAGCTTCCAACGGCTCATTAATAAATTAAATGATCTGGAAACTGCTTGAATGTAAGCCAACATCTAACTGTTATTGGTCCAAAAATCATTAAAATAAAATTTGTCGTTTTATGATGACTTTTCTCATCTGTTGAAGATGGAAAAGGCCTCCATAAGTCAAGTGGTGAACCGTGGGTTAATGACAACAACCACACCAATGAGGAATATGGTTATGAAGGATTATTAACTACAAATTGCGTGTGCACATTTTTCAGCATTACATCATGTACCCAGCAGGCACTGTTTTTGGAAGAAACATCTCTGGCCACGGTGCTGAAATGATGAGCTTCACTATTTCATAGATGAATAACCCTGAGCAAGCAGCCCTTGGTATGGAGATAAATTATTTTAATCCTTGATTATATGCTACACACAAGCATCAGAGTCCAGCCTCCAATGGGTAGAAGATCCCTGGGATGAATTGGAGCACAGATTCAGGGCACGGCCTCAATGGCCTTCATCACTAATGGAGGTTACTAATGCTTCATAGAAGCTTTGGAACACAATACCATCAGCTCTCTGCCTGGTATTAGCAGGAAGTATTCAGTGATGCATAATAGTGTTCATTAAGGCCAAATGTAGTTCCAGTGTGGCTACTGGAAGGGTTCATTGTTGTAGTTACTGCCGCATCCCCTGACGAGTGGAAGCAATTTTGCACCTTTCATAAGCAGCTAAGGTGATGCAAACATTCCCTTTCCCTCAAAATACAGATAAAATATGGTGTCTGGATGCTTGACAGAGTCACTTGCACTCACCCCAGGTGTTGAAGAGGCGGGACTTCCTGCAGCGGTACTCCACTTCCTGTTGACAGTGCTCTGACGTGGCCACCAGGCTGCGGAGCTGCTCGGGTGAAGCGCTGTAGTTGAAGTGCATGATGTGCGGCCTCTGTAGTGATGAGCCCTGCACCCGCACCGGCTCAGTAATGTTGTGGGCCACTACTGTCCACACTTTGTCCTCTGCGGAAAAAATGTATAAGAGTTACAAGACTTCAGCCTGATAGTGGTGGCCTTTGTCAGCACTGCAGACACTGTAACCCTCAGGACTGTGGATCTGAGATCCAGAGGGAAGCAGAAACTTGCGAAATCATTACAAATTAAAAGTAACATAAATTTGGATGATAAAATACTGATTACTGTCATTTTAACACAATGGATCTATTTTATAGTGGTTCGGTATTGGATTGATATGATGTAAAATATTTACGCATGCTAGAGCTGAGCAAATATGTGCGATTCCTTAAGCCCCTAACAGTTCAATCTGGATGCCGTTTACATGGCAACAAGCCTCTTTAACTGATACAGAAACAGGTAAATGCCGCAGGATTTGTAAAAGCAACAACTATAATCTAGCTTGAGTCTTGTTACGAGATTGATGACATTGGTTTGTGGAAACACCGAATGCTGTGTGTTTACTGCTGCAACACCGCCTGCTGAGAATAGGACCTCCTCCACTGACAGGAAAAGGAGCCCATCTCCAGTGTGGGATGTGTGCTCCGAAAGTTATCAGTCTTCATGTTCTGATTTTCCCAGGCACAGCTGGTCTCCAGCCCCCTAACTTCTACATAATGGCCCCTATTTGCACAGTGATGAAAGTCTATTCCTGTCACCGGATGTGAGGGGGGACTGGGGACATGCAGGAAAATGTCAAAAAAGAAGAAAAAAAACTGTAGGGATGAGTACACCTGTGAAAATCTCAGAGGTAGATGATGCATGTGCATGCCTGAGTAAGATATTTATAGCATTAAGGTTTTTATAATGCAAAAAATTGGTTAAAAGAGAGGAAGAAGCTTTTCATTGGAGAAAAATGTGGATTCCTGCTTCTGCCTGCATAGAGAGACATGGTCTATGAGGCCATGCAGGGAGAGGCTGGAGGTGACTGGGGTGCCCACCTGTCATGTTGCAGTACACCTTTGTGGACTCCAAGGGGCCACTCCCATCCGGATCGATGGAGAAATAGCCGGAGGAGCTGCCGGTTTGCCTGTATGCCTCACATGATGGCTCGTAGATGGCTGAGGAAAGCACAGTGTCAGTACCAGCAGCTTGAATTCCTACAGTTCAGCATACAAAAGCCACACAGCCCCCCACATATACAAAACTCCACCCGATTAATGAGTGTCTTAACCCGAAAACAATTCAGTGTCTGTATAACATGCACATTTAATTCTGAGCACTTCATTACAGTCAATTTACAGTCCTGGCTGATGTGAGTGTGGTCGCGCCATCTCACAGTAAACATGAGTAATTATATTTACTGAACAGAAATCGAAATGTGCTTGCGTTGATTAGCTGCTGCACGGCAGTATGCTGCTACACGATTGTGTTTAGACTCTTCAGCGGGGCACACTTGACGGGGATGCTTCTGCAGCCAAGTATGCTGCGAGTGACCAGTGAGTCGCGCTGCTGCTGGGTAACAGCTGGTGGTGAAAAGGAACGTGTGAACATGTGTGGTGGTGTTTGCTAATCTCTCCTTACACTCTTGAACAGCATAGCGTAGTCCATCCATACAGTACCAGCAAACAAGCGTAAAAGCCTTTCAGAGGAAATAGATAAATAAGCATGAATAAAAAAGCGCCGTGCATTTCAGAATGGTGCCTATAGTTCAGTGTATTCGCTCTGGCTGCCCCCTTTCATTCTCCAAATGCAGATCACGGGAAGAGGCTTCACACTGTGCACATGGGAACTGAGCACATGGGTGGGAGTGTGTGGGATGGCACAATGACAGTGCAAGCCTGGGGGTGGGGGGGGGGTGACTCACAGTTGTGACAGGTGGGTCCGGTGTAGCCCGTGCCCGAGCAGTCACAGTGGAAGTAGCTCCAGGACTGTGTGCAGCGGCCACCGTGCTCGCAGAAGCTGGGCGTACATCTGCGGAGAAACAGATTAACCTTCTATTAGGTCATGATAATCACTCCAGAGATAGCTAAGGCCTGTTTGTGAAGAGTGCAGCATGACTCTCAAGCTGAACCGTGTCAGCACATGTCAGAAGCTTCCAGAAAGAACAACAAAATAATGACACGCGAAGGCATTTACTTCTAGCTGCTTTGCTAGCTTTTTAGTACAAGTTCCAGTTGAAACTCTTCTTTGAACAAAGGACTGCAAGGGAATTTCAAACCAAGTTGCTGTCCATGTGTGTAAATGCTACTCCACATACTCCTTGATAAGCTGGTAGATGGTGGTCTTCACAGAGCCAGACTGCCTGTTCCTGAGGTGATGCTCTGCCCAGTTCCTGTGATTTGAAGCATCTTCCATGTCCATGAAACCACAGCTAAAAATGATGCATCGTTATTCAGAAGTTCAGGAAGTGGGGGCCAGAGCCAAGTCCTCCTTTGAGCTATTTGTGGGAATGTAGCAGCTGGGGCTCCATCTGTAACCTGGAAAATCCAATAATATTGAGGTTTTTAATCATCCATGTGACTCACTTCAAAGCTCAAGCTTGAAGCTGAATATGATGTGCAGTATGAACACTGGTACAGCTCTTGAATTTGTGAAGAAAAAGAACAGATTTGGAGGGGGGGATGAAGCTGGTAACAGTGGCAGCATGTGATTTTGTCAAGAATGATGTTGTAAAAAGCCTCAGCCCAAGCACAGAGCTATGAGGAACACCACTGTTCATGTCAGCATAAAAAACATCAAGTCTTCTATCTGACATAAGCAAGACTCCTCAAAAAATCCCATGCAGGAGCCTGGATTTCTGTCCTGTGGCTCTAAGACACAGTCACTGTTCACAGTGCAGGCAGCTCTCAACTGGTGTAAACTGACTTTAATGAATCCAGACTAACTACAAAATATCCAAGATACATAGAGTTTTAATGTAAAAATGTGACATGCACCTGTATGTAAATTTACACTTCATCTTTTCATTTATTTGTTTTCTTTAGTATGTATCACAAGTACACTTATGACTTTTTTGCTTTTAAGGTGTCTTGAATGGCATGGAGAGGTAATTCCAATTTACATAATTTGACAGATTACTTATGTCGGTCGAGAACAGCCTGTACTTGGAAGCGAAAGGGTTTTTGCTTCTTGTGTTTAGTCTTTGCTGTCTAGGTGACATTGAGCTTTTAGGCACTTGCACTGGGACACAGTCTTTCAGTCCACTGACCTGCTGGCATTAAAAGTTTAAAAAACTCAGAGCTCTTTAGTGCTGTATCTCATTATGCTGGATGTCACCATTTCAAGGCGTCAATTCATAATGCAGCAGAGGCTAAACAAGCAAAGCCTCCCCTGGCAGGAGCGGCTTGGATGGGACATCAATGCTGGGGATTGAGCAACGGAGAATTGGCTGAAATAGTAACGATGCACTCTGACAGCAACTGGGTGGCAGGGAGGGGTTTGCCCTAGGGGTCCACGGTACCAGGAGCTGTGCTGTAAACTGTTAATTATTGTCAACAAAGACACCAGCTGACTGTGAGTAACCCAAGAACCTGGCGCCGCCTACCTGGGGAGTTGGTAGTTTCCGAATAATATAAACTATTATAAACTAACATAAACAGCAGGATGTCACAAAGGAAAAATAACTTAGCAGTATATAAAGGCAGGTTTAAATTTGTAGGTTTAAATCCAGTATGGCACCATTTCAATATTAGGGTGTCACAGTTTAATACGACACTGCGTGGTGACTGACATTAAGTGCTAATGAGAGAATTGCACTTTCTGTGTTTGCATGCACATTATCACTATGCAGATAGGAGGTGGCACTGTAGGGACAGTCCAGGTCCAGCTCAAAGTCTTTCATTGCTGCTGTCCTCAGAACTGAGCCGCCACGGAGGATGTAGGGCACACGGACAGCAGAGCCATCGACAACCAAATTCATTGAAAGGCTGCTGTCAGTAAATACATGAAATTGTATGCTGGGAAGTCAGGAAACCTGTATCATACGTCCACATGACCAGCACGCCTCAGTGACTTTGGCACTTAATTAGTATCACCATCTTCTGTCGCTCTTCTAAAAATTCACGATTATCAGCCTTTTGTGCATGCATACATTATTTCATGCTCTTTCATCTGTGCCGCAAACCGCAATAGGATCACTGTGACTTTTATAGGAAACTGTACTTACGAAATGGAGGTTTCCGGTGCTTTTAATTGCAGCAGAATTTGGCGACCGCTGGGTGGATAATGTTTCAGACGATAGTTTAATTATTGCCAGCTATTTTTGCTAAAGCAGTGAATAGTGCTTTTGTGGACCATAAAATGACACGAGTGGCCTTCATAATGGCATCTTCAGAACGAAGTAGCTAATGAACTTTTAATGGCAATACCGAGGAAGATTCATCCTCCATGGAGGATTGAACAATGAAAAGATGAACAAGAGCTCCATTGTTTGTTTACATTGCCATGAATTAACAGCCTCTGCTCCTGTGAAAAAGGAGGACGTCCTGCGGCTTCTCCATACGGCACGTGATGACCTCAAACTCTCAAGCAAGAGGCCAGATTCTACAGTTTCATACTACTCTTTTACTGTATGTGCACACTGCTCCATGATCTCTATATCCACCTTTTCTGTGATTGGCTGATTTCGTATACTTCATGTGACCAATCTGCATGTCCCCAGCTTATCTGCCTGAAAACATGCGTTGCTGTTCACTCACATTTGGGACACATCCAACAAAACAAGTGCAAAAACTGAACACTGAGGTAGTATGAGATACTGGGGCATCATGGGAGGTATTTTGGACCTGATGCATGTGGAGTTGGCCCTGGTCCATCTCCACCTTAATCCCCATACCATCCAATAGCCACCCAGGGCTTCTAAGAGATCAGTGGCCTCCTTAACTAAGGGGCAGGCATGAGCTCTGCCAGCTGGCTGCGATGTCCCACAATCTGGAACATTCCCAAGCCAGTGCTGTTTGCTCTGAAGGTGTCAGGACCATCACGCTGAAAAGCTCATGCCGGTCAGCAGACAGCAGCAGCTGGTCATGAATGATTTAAGGCTGACCGTCACAGAAGGGGCACCCTGGCCCATGGCCACAGAAGTCCACCATCAATACAGGTTCTGCTCAAGACAGGACAGCTGGTGAAAGGCATCATTATCCCAGACTACACTGTACTGAAGCTACTGGTCTGAATATGCCGGCTGAAAGTTTTGGTTTGAGCTTTTAATCCTTTTCACTGTTAGGCTGCTGATGTAACAAACTATACTGAGTTTGGTTCTTTAGGCCCTTCGAGTGCTTGTGATCATCCTGGAGCGCTGTAGAAGTTACTACCTGCTTCTTCTTTGGTGTTTTCCATAACCTCCGTTATTGTGGAAAGGTGGCAAAAACGTGTCAGCTTCTAAAGGAGCTGGTGTTTTAGAGGACCAAAGGTACAAAGGCTTCACAGGCTTCCATCTCCAGACCTGGTATCACATTGTAAAATACCTAAAGGTTCTTCCAAGAATTTCACAAGAGTTCTTAAACAGATACATCCATCTATCCATCCATCCATGAATCCACCCATCCATCTTCTATTCCTTTACCCAGGTCAGGGCTAATATGTATGTCAGAGAAGCCATGTGTCAATCAGAGGGCTGGCTGCCATTCAAGGCTGGGGCCGCCTGGAGGACTCTGCCGTCAGGGGCACATTAGTCTTGGCGCTATTTATGTCCTGGGGGGGGGGGTCATGCAGTGTGGCACTGAAATAGTTGCCTGGCAGCGATATCACTGTGGTGTTGGTTCGAGTGCTAACGGTTTGGGGTGGGGCCATGTCCTCAGCTACACTCAGGGGCAGAGCCCATCTTTCCCAGCCGGGGTTACTCCCAACTGCCCCTGCTCTCACAACCACCCGACCCCCCCGTACCTGTCTCTGATGCCGCAGGCGTCGATTTGCAGGTGACTGAAGTTACCCAGCATCCCTTGCTGCACATGGAACAGGTCCACTGCCTGGTTGTTAAGGAAAATGTGGCGCAGACATCCTTGGAAAGCCAGAGTCGGGTTCCTGCAGCCAAAGTTATTGGGGGCCGGAGGACACCCTGCGGCAAACAGGGGCAAGTGCTGTTTGTACAGGTACATCCAACATGTGGCAGGCTTCAGAGTCACGGCCAGGTGCTAAGGTACACAAAAAAGCTGATAACGTCTCCCTAAAGCCTTTTTAGAGACAGCAGAGCCAAGACAGCAGAGCCAAGGTTTAAATGCTGTTCTTTTAGACTTGATGATTCCAGAAGGGGATTACTGTGAATAACCCCGTAAATGTACTGCAAAATAATAAAAAAATTATTTTAAAATAAAACAAATAACCTTGAATATTCCAGAGAAAGTAAAATGAATCAAAAAGAACATGCTCGCCACAGTGACCTTGGGCCTGATTTCATGTATTCCTGTGTAACCTGTGGTGCACTTAGGTCTGCATAACAGCAGATGCTTTCTGGATTTGTGCCTTTCACGGAAAATATTATTAATTTCCCCAGATTGTTTTAACAAAGCTTGTAATTTGGAGAGATTCTTTGAGGTCTGAAGTCCTCTGAGATGCCCGATGAGCAGGCATAAGATGCAGAGAGATGACGACATCACCCAGCCCTGAACCAGCTTGAACGAGGTCTGGAGTTCTTTGGGGATCAGAACTAGATCTCCTAAACTTCTCCTATGTAAACCAGTCCTGCAGAGGACAGGGTTTTAAGGGCCACTTCAGAGCCAGGTTTTATAATCTGATAGAAAGGGGAGTGACCCAGGGTGTTGGATTCTACAATCTGATAGGAAGTGGAGTGGCCTGGGGTACTGGGTTCTAAAATCTGATAGAAAGGGGAGTGACCCGGGGTGCTGGATTCTACAATCTGATAGAAAGGGGAGTGACCCGGGGTGCTGGATTCTACAATCTGATAGAAAGGGGAGTTGCCTGGAGAGCCGGATTCTTAATTAGGGCAGGTAATTAGCTTCAGGTAATTGGTAACAGGTCCGGAAGGACAGGGTTTCACTGTTCTTGATATCTCCCTTCTCCTAACACCATGCACATAGCCTGTTAAAGATGTCTGGGGCACATCTGAAACTTCTTAAGAACTCCACTGACTCCTAAACACAGTAAAATGCAGTCGAGGGACCGCCGTCTCCTCTCCATCCCAGAATAGGTACTTTGTCTCCAACCATCACTCTCACAGGCTCTATACAGGGATGTCCTTCTTCAGGACCCAGGTGTGCAATGTGACACGCTTCTTCCTGAATCGTGGATGGAACTGGGTCTTTTATGCCCTCTGTACTTCATCATTGATAATTAAACCCAGTTGAGCCCCCTCCCCTGGCGTCTCCTCACCTCCAAAGAAGAAGCTGCCCTCGCTGATGCCATGCTCGTCTAGCTCCACCGTCAGCGGTGACTCGCCATCCAGCACCAGGGACACCTGCCGGTTCTTCATGGATACGCTGATGGAGTGCCAGAGCCCATCATTCACGCCGTCACCTGCATCCCGAAACACCAACAAAAGCCGTGTCACCACAATAGAGGGGACAGCAGGTAAGGGGGCAGGACCTTTTTGGGTGCGACACTGGTGGCTGGAGTGAGACTCTGCCTTAGCTTGCATCTAAAGCATAAGGAGCCTGAAAGTAATTTTAAAATCCCAAGGCTTTTCCATACACAATCCCATACATTATCCATACATTATTCTCTCTTTCAAGCTGACTCTTTAAAGCTGATTTATGTTAACTGCAAACAGAACTGTTACAAAGAAAAGAGTGTAATGTTTAATTTAGGGATTCAGCCTTAAAAGTGAAAGAGTTAGAAGCTGTGTAAGGCTGTGGCCTCAAACCCGTCTGTGGTCACCATCTACTTCCTTAGCGAGATGCCAAAGAATCTGACAAATAAAATATGAAAGATAAAATGGCCAGCAGCACTTTAGTGACATGGAAGTGAAAAGCTAAACCCACACGTGCAACTGAGATGCTCGTTTGCATGTTTTTTTCAAGATCAAAGAAATTAATTTCATTTTAAAATTTATTTCCTTTCTGATCCAGCTTTCGTCCTTAGGAATCTGGGAGGTGAACAATCAGATTCGCAAAGGTGCAGCTGAAATGGCCCGGTGACAGGTGTGTAATCTGATTTAAGCCCTGATAACACAGTAAACCTCGGCTGCCTTGCCTCCTCCCTCTTTGACAGGGAAATAAAAGCAGGTCTCAGTCCTCTGAGCTTAAACATCACACTGATGTGGGTGTGTGTGTGGGGGGGGGGTGAGCCACTTCTTTTCTTTATCATAGATTATCGAATTTAACAGAATCCTGCCTATAGGGGGCAGTGTACATCTGCAGCAGCTAAATTACCCTGAATAGGGAAACAGTGAGATCAGACTGAGGAGCTGACCTCACAGTGTCCTAACTGGGAGCCTTACTGGTGGAGATTTCTGACTTCTGCAGGGCCGAGTGCTGGTGGGTGAGTCTCAACTGGCCGCCATTGATGCGCAGGGCCAGGCAGCCGGGACCCCGGCCCAGCCGGACAAAGAGAAGTAGCCCATCCCGGTTCCAGGTTCGAAACTGAAAGTAGACGGACAGCGTCTCCTTCGCAGGCTCTGCTGGCAGTAACAGGAAGCTGTTTCGGGAGCTCAGAAAGGTGGCAGCTACGGGCTGGGCTTCCGAGCATGAGAAGGTCACGTTGCCCTGAAGAGGAGTGGAGGAGTTAGCGGAGACATGGCAAAGGCAGGTGAGTGGGGAGCTGATCTGGTGACACTGGCGGGTCTGAAAACAGCCGTGCATCGGGGTAGCAATGCTATCATGGAGGGCTCAGATAAGATCAACTGTGTGAAAGTGTGAAACTTTCCTTGTGTCATCATCAAAATAGGGACAATGTGCTAAACAAGAGAGGCCCCACAAAGATTACAACGACCCAATCCATAAGGAAACCCTATTGGTAGAGATAACGTGAAGTATTGTGTCAGCCTGTACTTTACAGGCAGGACCAATCACTACAGTCCTACTCTGCATTGGTTTGTTGTTATAAACCAAGTCATGTTCGTTAAGCTATCGCACTTTGTTCTGTTTGACACGCTGACACTTAGCAAGGTGGAGGAGGGTGGGGCGCATCTCCTCCCTGTCTGTCAAACATCCTAACTGCCTGTCCCAAACAAACAGATGCCAAGGTCCAAAGACACCATGCTTTACTGCCTGCTGCTAATTGGACACTAAAGGTCTCCAGAGACCATGCCTCTCTAATCAGTCAGCTGTTAATAACCTAGAGGGAACCGTCACTATATGATCTCAGTGTAATGGTGGCAAAGGATCTCCCATTATATTGTAGGGTAACTCTCTATGCACATGTGCAGATCTGAGTTGAAGCCACCTGTCACAATCCTAGCTCTTGCTTTTAGGGAGTGTCACTTTATTATTGTTGTTTAATCCTTGCTGGTGGGTGTGGTAGCCTCACAGCTGCTTCAGAAAGAGCTTCCTAAAAGACCAACTGCATGAATCCCTCCTGTTCAAACCCTGATTTCTGTGTCGGCCTCTCCATGCTTTACTAGAGGAGCCACAAGGCTCTCATTGTGCTGCTACAGAGAGCCCTGCTGGTATGGCCTCCTTTCTTTTGCAGGGATCGGCTTTGCAATAGAGAGGCCTACCACACTGTAGATCTGTGGCTTGCGTCTCTTGGCCAGGTCGATGACGTTGACCCCATTGTAGTACAGGTTCTCCATGCAGCCTTGGAAGTTCTTTCGAAGGAAGGTCCCTGGCTTCCCGGGCAACGGGATTCCCCCGAAGCTGAGCTTTGAGAAGGCAGCCAGAAGGGGACATGAACAGATGCTACAATGAGGGGACCCAGGACCCCCAAGGTGCCACACAGCCTTGATTTATATTGACCAGCCCAGCCCAGCCCAGCCCACAGCAATGGAAGGACTTGTTATGTCAACTTTCTGTGTCCATTAATATAAGTAAGTACATACAATTAAAGACATGGGAGTAAGCATGCAATTCTGCATGTCCTTTTTAAAAAACTGCTGACTCCAGACAAGTTACCATGCGATGAGTCTATATTAACCAATGAACTATATTAATCGTATAACTCTTACCGAAAACATTCATACAATAAATAAAATATACTACAGGACACTCCCATCAGTCTCTACTGCCTGATCCGCATATAATATATCTTGTATTTGGCTGAATCTTTCATTAATAATGATTGACATTACTGAGGTAAATTTCACATGACAGACAGAGCGGGAGGAATTTGTCACTAGCTGACATACATCACATCCTTTGGCTATATGGTATGTCAGGCATGTGGTTTAATGTTTGCTTACTCAACACTGCATGTGGCTTAATGTTTGGGTACACAACACAACATCTAACTTAATGTTCGTGTACCCAACACTACTCATGACTTAAGGTTTATGTACCCAACACTGCACGTGACTTAATATTCACGTACCCAACACCAAGTATGACTTCATATTCATGTACTGAACACTGCACGTGGCTTAATGTTAATGCACCCAACGCTGCATGTTGCTTAATGATCACTTACCCAACACTGTTTGTGGCTTTATGTTCATGTACCCAACACCATGTGTGGCTTATTGTTCATGTCCCAGCACCACGTGTGACTTACTGTTCACATACCCAACACCAAGTGTGATTTAATTTTCAGATACCCCACAAGGCTATATCAAAATCACCATCTGTGCAAATGCTGCCATCTGTACAGAGCTGTAAATATGGTGAAACACGGTGGATAGGCAACTGTCTGTCATCCTTAGGTGTTCACTCACCTCACTAATACCCCACGAGGGTACAGGCCATAGAGCCACCGACTTATTCCTCAAATGCCAAATTTCAAAATTTCAAATGCTTAATCTGTTTTAAGAGGCATCAAAGCTAAACATGTTCCCAGCTCTGCTTCCACAAAAACATGGTGAAATGGAAATATTATGAAAAAGATGAAGCTGTTAAGTTTCTGTATCTTCAAACATAAACGCTTCCTTCATATGTGGAGAGTTCATATGATGATTACTTTTAATGGTACCATTAGACTGCAACACTTCATATCTATCTTTCCGTTATATTCACATATCATTACTGAACCCCCCAAAAGACGCATACACCATATGCATCAAGTCCTAAAGCGACGAAAAACTGAAATTCACACAAATACAGCAGAGAGTGACTCAGAACTGCTATAATATGTGCCAGTCAGGCTGTATAGCTATAAATTTCAGAAAAATACCCTCCTTAATTATACAGGCCGGAATATATCGCAGGTAGTGTATAAAGGAGATGATTAAGTAATTCCAGTCTATTTTCAAATTTAATGGCAGGAAAGGTTTCACGGGTGTCAATCACACAGTTCATATGGCGATGACTCTGCCATTTGAGAACATTTATTTTCCCAGAAAATAAATGTAACAACACATAAATAAAAGTATGCTTATCGAGGTGAGTGTTTCCAGCACGATTTCCCTCGGAATCGTAGCATTAAAGTGCTGCTGGCAAATAATAAGGTGTAAAACGGTGCCTGGTGTGAGAATGTGATTAAGCACAAATGTAATTCAGTACCGAGATCATGGTAAACAAAAGAGACAGAGAGGGATATATGCGGACAGAGAGATGAGGCAGAGATGAGGGAGACATGCAGCGGGATGAAGCTCATTGCTGCCAGCTGACTTTTGTGGAAATATGAAACATTAGAAGGATTCACCATGACCTTCTGGACCCCCTGTGGGGTTTGGCAGCTTGGCAGACTCAGCATGGGGCATCGCCCCCCACCTGCACCCGGGAGAGGCGGATGTGGTGACCAGAAGCTGCAATTCTGGCAGTCCGAAGGTAAACCTGCCATTTATGGTAGAAATGTCTCCCAGATGGGGGGGTCTGGCCAGATAAACGTGGTAAATGTAGCTCTGAATGGGCTGGAAAACTCCCGGCGCATCACCTGCCAAGCGGCCTGGGCCAGGAGCTTGTCCCTTCCCAGCTTAATTACTCAATTAGCTCATAGTTTGGCAGTTGCCGACATCAGAATGAATTGAAAGATCATGGTGCTTTTGAAAGATGCTGGGAATTTGAGCGGGAATTTGAGGCTGCGACCATGGAAATGTGAGCAGATCTGGATGATGAGAGGTCAGAGGAAATGCTGCCGTGTACACGCACACGGACACACATGTGGACACATACGGACATGCACTCACAGACACGGACATGCACGCACATGCACAGATAGTGTGGCAGGAAGAATCTCGCATGTGCTTAATACGCCCCCACAAAAATAGTGAGTGTGGGTGGGGTGGGGTGGCCGGCTTCAGCTCCAGCTGTGCTCTGAATTAATAAGCCTTAATCCAACTGTTGGGACATCACATTCAGCCATTCACAGAGGTACTCTCCTTTCCTGAGCATAGCTCCCACATTCCTGCTGCTCCAGGAATTAATGGCGACAGGAAATCTATATTTAATCATTTTTTCCATTAAAATTAATGATTTGTGTTCATTATCTCAATTATTCGATGAATTAATCTAAAAGAGAAGGTACCCCGCTGTCGACGAAATAGAAAATGATTCTGTTATTTCATGAAACAAAATAAATTATTATGAAGCTTAACTTAATCAGTTCTCAATCCTATTAGTTCGAACAAGAGCTTGGTTTGGGGGTGGGGGGGTCACCTCGTAATCCACGTCCAGCGAGTCGTCAGCACCCCCGGTGCGCAGGTGCTGCGTCTGCCCGTCCACGCTGAAGTTCACTTGTTTGTTGAACCGCTCTACCAGCACAGTGTGCCAACGCTGGTCATCCAGCAAACTGCCCAGGCTCAGTGATGCGTGCCCACCCCCAGGGTGCAGTTTGGCATCATCTGTGGGGGGCAGCGTAACAGTCTGTACTTAAAAGGTGGGGAGGGGATTAATCAGCCATAAATTTGTATGAAGTGTGTCATGCATGTAAATATCCACCTTATTTTCTCATAAAATGAGTTGAATATTTACTCAAGGGAATGTGATTTGGCCTCATGCATTTGACTGGCTGTGATTACAAGCATGGGTGAGGTCAAAGGTCAGACGAAGCAGGGTGTTGATGGGCTTATATGGATAGTCTGCCATGTGAGGGTAATCACTTGACAGCTCCTTCACTTATATGGACTGCTTCCTTCTCACGTTTGGCCCAAATTTTGATACTTTCTCTCAACCTCTGACCTTCTCCATCTGTGACCCATGGCCCAGATGCTCACCCAGATTGAGATGCAGGGCCAGCCTGCCCCGATGCAGCTCCAGGGTCACATGGTCTCCCCTCTGGCCCTCCCCGTGTACCAGCACACCCTCCCCCTTCTGGCTCTTGAACCGCAGTGAGATCACGTCCTTCACCGTGCTCATGGACTTCTGGTTGAATCGGTAGAGGAGGGAACTTCTGCCGTCAAAATCTGCCACATCCGACTCTGACAGAGACAAAAGAATGATTTGTGAGGTTGCTGTAGCCCTTGCCACTCTGCCCAGGGTCACTCTGCGTCATTGGATGTTACCTTATATGGCAGCTGACACCGAGCAGACGGATTGTAAGACATGACTGGATAAACGAGGCCCTGCGGAAACGCGTGCCGCTCTGGAAAGAGGGATTGCTGTCGAGAAATGCTTGCAGCTGTTATTCTCCTGCCAGATTGAGACGTCCGTCACTTTGCAGAGAGAGAGCTTTTCCCCAGTGGGAAATACGTCATATCTGTGAGTTGTTGATATGCTCAGTGTTGAGATCGTACATTGTGTTGAGACGGGGAGGTGGGGGCGGTGTACGGTATGAACACAGGAATGCCAGATGTTAAGTGGCAAATTGACCACAGGCTTCACCAGGCTGTTGTGACCCCAGTCCATGTAGATTAATGGGTGTCACGCTTGGCGCTCTCTGCCACCCCACCCCCCCAGCCTCAACGCCTGGCCGCATTAACCTTGTGGGCAGTGCTGGTGTGTCCCCCTGGTCTGATGTCTTAATAAACAGCCCGACAGCACTGTGTCAGCTGGGGGGGGGGTCTCGGCCTTACTGATAATCATGACCACTCTGCTCTCACTTCATGATGTGAGTTACTGTATTCTGTATAAAAAGAACTGCAAATTTCAGAATGTTCCACCCTAGGCCCCTCTCAGACTTGCAGATGTAGTTCTAACTTGACTCTGTGGTTTCAATGCCGGGAAACATCCAGAACATTTTCACATAAAGGGAGCCCACACAGCTTATTACTCATCCTCATCCTACTCAGACAATCAAAAGCTGCACTTCAGTCAATAAATTATCAGAACAGAACTCTATGAGTCTCTTTAATGCCTGTTACCTGTACCTTACAAATAACTATACGCACACCTTACCAGTACTTTGAGAAGAAACCCACTTACCCTGCATGTTGCATGTCAAAAAGACAAATTCACAAAACAATTTGCACCTTCAGTGAAACACCCCAAGGCCCCCACCCCTCTCCCATTATAAAGAGACATGCCCTCTGAGACAGCTGGCTGTCCTTTTATAGATAACTGAGGTCCAACCTTTAACAGGGATCTGGTTGATACCCCGAATGCAGTGTGAAGCAGGCTTAACACAATGATCATGGTGAATGAATGGGCTCACGCAGGAATAACTATAAATGTCATTACGGAGTGATCATTCACGAAGAGTATCCAACACGCTGCCCCACCGTTCTCCTGAAATGAGGCCCACGTGAGTTGCCTTTGCACTGCCGAGTCTTCCATCATCCTTCTGATTAAGAAAATCGCCCATGGTCCTCGGCTGCTCGCTTTCACATTTTCAGGGACAGAGATGATGAGCTTGCTCCTGCGACGATGGTCGCGTTTTCATAAACACAGGACTCGGCTGTGTGTGACTGCACCTCTTCCACTGAGAAGACCTCTAGCACCCATGTCTGGTGAATGGGAGCCACTCACTGTACATGCAGCCGTAGACTTCGACTCGCAGGCCGACCCAGCCGCTGGGGTTCCAACTGAGGGGGACAAAGCGCAAAAACCGGGTTCGGATGGACTGGGGGAACCTGTGTTGGGTCACGCCCTCAGCATTGGTGTTCCCCTGGAACGTCTGCAGGTGGGAAGATGGACACAAAGAATGAGATAATCAAAACAATACAATACATGATAATAACACTGGACCTGTTATCAGAATGTTTCTGGTTTGAATCCCAGGGTCAGCTTTTGGGATTTCACTGCTGGGCCCATGAGTAAGGTCCTTAACCCCAACACAAACTGGTTCATACATGAGAGCAAGTGGTCAGACTGCCTGTTTGACTCACTAATTATGCATAAATCATATTGATTTATTTGAAGCTTTATTTTTCACCTCTCCACCAGCACTTTGACTATCTCCGCATTACTCCTCAGTTTGAAAACACGCTCAAAACACAGTCACACATCTCTGTTTGTTTGTCCATAACTGTGCCCGGCCTCTGTGTTAATTTCATTAAATGAAACCCACAGGCTGAAATAATGGGATTTAATATTTATATATGCTTGAAAAGTTAATTAAACTTCCATTTAAAATATTAGCATGCAGTTCAAACAGTCAGACGATAGTAAATTAATAATGCAGCGGGCTGGATGGAGCTGACGGTGTCTGTGTGAAAATGGAGGAGCAGCAAGGGCCAGACGGGTGAGTGAGAGTCAGAGCAGCCTGTGGTGGCCAGCTGATACCTCGGCAAGGATTCACCTTAATCGTGCACAAATTGAAAATACGCTGTCACACACGACTCGGGACCTTGCAGGTGGCAATATCACGGCTGCATTTATTGCACACACCACCCTCTCTCTTTGCCTGTCTGCTAATTTTTCCCTTTCTGCTCCGTTTGGCTGCTGAAAACCCGTAAAACTCCTCCGGGTTGTTTTATTAATGTCCTCTGAGTCATAAATCATGGGCAGCTTCTTAGACGAACATCCCCCCCCCCCACCCCACTCCCATCTGCCTTAAACTGTAAAATATTACAGCGATTGGGACTTGAGCAGAAAACACTGCTTGGTGACATACATTGGAGAGAGCAAGATGAATGTGGATGCGACGTCATATGCTCTGTCATACGCTGTCATACACCCTGTCACACGACGTCAAATGCCCTGTCATACAATCTGTGATACACTGTCATATGCTCCGTCATACACCCCATCATATGAAATGTCATACACCCCATCATATGCCCTGTCATACACTCTGTCATACGCTGTCAAACGCCCCGTCATACACCCCATCATATGAAATGTCATACACTGTCAAACGTTCTGTCATACATCCCATCATATGCTCTGTCATACAATCTGTGATACACTGTCATATGCTCCGTCATACACCCCACCATATGCCCTGTCATACACTCTGTCATACGATGTCAAACGCCCCGTCATACACCCCATCATATGAAATGTCATACACTGTCAAACGTTCTGTCATACATCCCATCATATGCTCTGTCATACGCCCAGTCACACAGCCCATCATATGTTGTCATACACCCCATGACACGCCCCAGCATACGATCTGTCATACACCCCGTAACACACTCTGTCACATGCCCTGGCATACGCTGCCATACACTCTGTCATACGCTATGTCATGCACAAATAAAAAGGGATCAATAATGGCTGCAACATGGCTTAAATATTAATGTATATCGCTGCCTCATTCTGAGTTTATCTTCTGATAGTTTTCATGAGACAGACAGTCCTGTTGTCAGGTATAGAGGAAAGTAACCATTCAAGTTTCATGCACAGAAACAGACCAATTAGGAGACCCACCTATGCAAGTCAGGTGCACAGAAACTGACCATTTAGGAGACCCGACTGTGCAAGTTAGGTGCACAGAAACTGACCATTTAGGAGACAGAACTGTGCTGAGGATAGTGCTATGCCTTGAATCGGACTCCCTTTTTGAATAATCTAGAAGTTTCTATAATTATTCAACAATGTATCAACTTGCTGCTGTTTTGCTGTTGCCAATTAAAATTAAATGTGCCTATTCATCGATTGAGTGGATAATTTGCTGGTTTGTCAGAGTCTGATTTCGGTGCAAATCCGCAAAAGCTTTTCCAGTTGACAGGCCAGGCTGGTGCTAGGGGCGTCCAGCAGTGTCAAGGTGCCTGCTATTATCGTTATTAACGACTAATTACAGGCTCCTCCCACACTGTTTCAGCTCCTCCTCCATCAGTCTATGTTCCAGGTTTTTCCGGGAGCCTGGCCTTGGGATCTCCAAACAAGAGCTTAAACAAAACTGGATACACCTCTCATCCATGAAAACAGCCAGGGCCTGGTGGGGCCCATTCTCGCTGCTCATTTTGCGAATGTGACAGAATTTCCTCCGGCCACAATGATTCACCATAACAATGTCAGTGCTGAACAAGGGTCCTGCCATGTAGTCGTGTCAGATAAGTGGTATTCGGGCACTTTTAGGAGGGCTCCCCCTCCCATGTACGGCACTGACGGCTCTCATTGCCAATTATACTGTTACAAGGTACAGGAAAAGACCTGATTTCCAGTAAAACGATGTCCATTAAAAAAAAGCCCCAAACAAAATAGAGGCAATTTTTCTGCTTCATATAGAGATAATGTTAGTTGGAATGTCTGTCAGATCATTGCATCATTCTTTTGGCTGGAGAGCTAAATTATCAGGCACTCACACAGAACAATGATGAGCAGTCAGTGAAGAGTCACAGGCCAGGTCCTGAAGACCAGAAAGCCCACGGCAGCTGGGTAAAATCACTCCCAGAGCCGCAGAGATGGATTGTAGGAAGCCAGGCCAGTTTCCCGTAGCTTGGTCCCCTGCGGTTAGCGTGTCAGGGGCCCTCGCCCAGGCCATTAGTCCCGCTTCCTCCCAGTGCTGAAAACACAACATAATCGCAGCTTGGGGAAGCAGCAAATCCCACATCTCCCAGGTGGACGAGATATAATGGAGCGTTTTCGGGAAGCGTGGGTGGGTGGGGGGTGCTGGGGAGTGAAATAAATAAACAAGAGTCTTATTAGCGGAAAGTGTTCTGTGGGAGGTGCGGGAGCTGACACACCGTGTGCTGCCTGTGATTTAAAGCACTCCCGTAATTTACGCTGCTGCCATTATTAGGAAGCATTTAAGCCATAGTGCCTTTCTGCTGTTTTTTTCCCAAGATGCTCATGTGTCTTATGGGGCTGAACTCACCACACCGATTAGCTTGGCATCGATACCCTAACGACCAGACTTGTAAACAAACAGTGTATTTCATCTTCAAATTCACTACTGCACCACAGTAACTCTGTATCATGCACCAATCACTCTCTACAGTGCCTTAAATTTCCTTAAAACCAAGACATTTCCACTCAGTTACGCAATGCGTATTAAGTAGATGAAAGAGAACCACAATAACATGAAGTACAAAGCAGAGACATCCTGCGGAAGTGTTTGTCTTTCATTCTGAAACACAGAATCAAAAAGTAGATTAATACAGATTAGAACCTCAGATTGCATTACCTGTGCTATACCAGCTATAAAACTAAAAATGTTCATAGCATGGTGACAATCTGGGTCTTCTTCTCTGATAAATTGTATGGTGACAGCTTTAACCAAGTGTGGATTCAAGCATTCTGACTGTGGAATCAAACACAGTGACAATGACGTAAACATTATGACTGTGGATTCAAGCTGCTAATGCCAATGCTGGCTGCTATTTTATTTATTCAGAAAATCATATTGATCCTCACAGTCACTGACCTACAAAATAATATCACATGGTATGGAAATGTAGGCCCCCCTCAGGTACACCACTAAATTAGCAGCTGGTAAACATAACAGCAGTAATGATGGAACCTCGTGGCTTTCCCTAAGGTTTACTCCAGAAACCTTATAAACTGAGTCATACACAGCGGCCTTGTTTATGTATAATTTACAATAAAAATGAATCTAAGTTTAGTTATCATAAGAGGGTGACTATATTAATGTTAGTATGTCCAGGGGCTGCGGTGATATCAAATGACGCAAAGCCGTTGCATCACACAGTTCTCTCGAGTCAGAGGTGCCACCGGGAGTCACACCAAGGTCCCCATGCATCTCCTGAACTCCCATTAGGTCACAAAGCTCAGGTTAGTTACCTATCATGCACACATATTTCCATCCGTAGTGACATCATTATTTCTATTCCTGTTGTGTCTCTTGAATGAATGACGTGATCCATTCATTACAGCCTTTTAGCCGCGTTCCCCTGTGACTAGTTTCATCAGCTGTACGTATACGCTCTGGGTCCAGGGGGGCAGTTTTTCCCAGTTTAAGGACAACAACCCAGTTTGAAGATATACACGAGAGCTGGTGACGAGTTGGGAAAACAAGTGTCAGAAATACAGAAAGTGAGTTGGCATTGGGCATAAGAAAGGGGAAGCAATCTGAAATGTGTTCATCAATCAGGAATGTGTTAGCGGTGTATCAAATTATTTGCGGGCTAACCAGTGAAATGTGATTTCCTGATTAATCAAGAGATAATAAAATAACTCTAAGAGTTCTGCAAATCATGTGGGCAGACAGAGTATCCTCAGGATTGAGACAGACCCCCTCTTTAAGCTATCTAAAAAAATAAATTTTTAAAAACGGAAGAGGCACTGGGTTGTTTTTTTTTTTTTTTTTTTTAATTCGCTTCTCGTCTCAGTGGCTTTTTGGAGCTTGAGTACTTTCAATTACCACAAGCTTCCAGAGGATATTTGAGTTTGCAAGGCCCAACATCTTGCCCAGGATGGAGGAGAAGATGGCAGCTTCTGCTGTATTCAAAAGTACCTCATAAAGCATTCAAAACAGATGAGCTCAAACCTGCCAGGACAGCGTTAGTGCCTTAGAGAAATTTTTATTAGCTGCATTTAAATAATAAATGGTTGAGGTGATCGAAAATAATCACATGGGGAGGAGAGGGGTGGCTCAGTAGGTTAGGATCTTGTGCCTGTGTTTGGAAGATCACAGGTTTGAATCCCAGGGTTGGCTTAGTAATTTCACTGTTGGGTCCATGAGCAAGGCCCTTAACCCCAATTGCTCAGATCCTACTTTTTCAAAGAAAAAGCAACTCATTCAGGATAAAATGTATGGGAAACCACTGGGATAAAGAGAAGTAAACTCTGTTCCAGAGTAAAAACAGTTGACATTCTGTAACCCTGGTAAATGACACAAAGACAGCTGCCCTCCATTGGGGGAAAGACCATAGTGAGTGCAAGATAATAAATACTAATAAATATAAAATAACCCAGCATATACCTGCCACAGATACAGGGGTTACACTGACACACCAGCTCTCCTAACAAAAGACATTCATCTTTCAGTGCCCGATATTGGTGTTAAGGCAGGCAGTTCCACATATTGAGAGTCAGTGCTGAGTTCCTCTGGAAGAGGAGGGGTGTAGGAACATGTCCACAGATACGTAATACCTCACTGGAGGCTGTCAGACAGGGTGACATGTCCCATCTAGGACACAGCATGTTAAATCAGAGCCAAACTGGCTAATCCTTCAGCACAGATGACTGCATCACTCTGTTTTCTCTTTACTCTGGAAAAAATAGAGATGTGTGTCAACAGGCTCCAGCGGGTTAGAGTTGGGTTGAATTTGTTCAAAGGTCTTTGGTTTGAGTGCTTTAAAGACCCGCTGCTTTTAATCTCGTCCTGCTGGAGGTCACAACCTCCAGTCGTAGTATCACTGTGTCCTACATGGACCCCCATCAGAGCAGATAAAATTCCTGCAGATCCATTTTTACATCTTCTGAAGCACTAAACAGAAACCTTTTCAAACATTCCTAAATAACCACTGTGCTGCATTGGCACGGACACTCTCCCTCACTGATATATCATAATGCAATTTACACCATGTGTACGCACAGGTAAACACAGTACCCTGTGCTGTGTCCACAGCAACCTCAGTTACACATCACCTATAGGGCAACTTTGCCATGTGCCTTTTTATAGCCATACCTTTGACCTGGGCCTGTCTTGCAATTTATTTATTTATAAATAGGGCTCTGTGTCATATGGTTCTGTTATCCCTGCCTTTCTAAGAACATGTAATCACATACCAAGAATTTTAATTGTCAGATTTTGGGGAATTCAAACATACTAATACTGCTGTGTGCTGAAAAATATGCACCACACTGGTTTCCTTGCCCATTTCGAAATATTGCTCAGATATATCAGCATGTTAACAAATATCTTGAGCATCTCTACCTATTGTTTGTTCTATCTTCATAAAGACAGTATGTAATACAAAAATAATAATACAGAAACATATTGCTCAAGGATCATGAAAAAAAATCTTGCGATTCATATTTCACCCAGAATTGTGCAGCCCTATTCCTGCTTTCATGATTCATAATGAGACAAGATAGATAGATAGATAGATAGATAGATAGATAGATAGATAAAAAAAAAAAATGTCAAATAATAATAATAAATCTAAAAGACAGGGCTAGGCACAGTGCATACAGCTGTAGGCATCCATTGAAGAGGTAACTGTCACTGATTGACAGTGTGACATGTGATTCATTTGCTGTGAAAGTTTGGCCACTTTAACAAACACCAAGTGGGTTTTAAAGTCTATTCATGCATCATATACATGAGGGTTTAGTAATATGGAAATCTAAACTGTCCGAAACACAAAAGAAAATGAAGACGGACATGAAAACAGTCGGTTTTGTACAGTGCCTATAGTATAGACAGTCAGATTGTGATATTTAAATGACAGCTACTTAAACTAAAGAAGAAAAAGAAAAAAAATCTAATTCCTCCCATTGACTGCACCACAACCATCTCTTTCATGGAGATCCATGACCTCTCATTTCTAGCGCATTACCGGGGGTGCAGGCACCCAAACGCATCACAGCCGTGAGATGCTCAGTCCCCCTTTTTCAATATTTTCACACAGCACTTGAACTGATGCAGATAAAGCAGGATGTCAATGAGTGTAAGGCACTTCACTCACTTTTTCTCACAGGTCACAGAAACTGGAAGCAGCTCAAGGCTGTGGCCAAAGTGGGTATGAGGGTCAAAGGGTGCCAAGTAAGACCGGGGAGACAGATGGTGAAGAAGGGAGCAGGGCGAACGGTCCAGTCTGGGAGGAATGCCGTCCAAACAGGAGTGGAACAGTCACCCCCCCTTCTGTATGTCCAGCAAATAGTGGGGCCCCAGGTCAGCATCACCACCAGCGCTTCCCCACACTGTGCACGCTACCTGCTTCTCTCTCCAGGGGCAGGGGGAGTCCAGCAATTCCTGGACTGCAGGCAGACCAGTCTAGCACCTGGACTCTACAGAGCCATGCTGTTGCAATACGCGCAGAATGTGGTTTGGCATTGTTTTGCTGAAATATACAAGTCTTTCTCTGAAAAAGACATTGTCTGGATGGCAGCATACAGTGACATGCAAAAGTGTGTATGATGGAAATAAAAATGTAATCTTCTACTCACTTAACTATTCACAGTAACAGACATTTTGCCCAAACTTTTGCATGCTACTGCTCCAAAACTTTATCAGCCCATCTTAAATGAGCTTGGACCCAGAGAAGTCGGCGGTCTTTCTGGATCATGTTTGGACATGGTTTCTTCTTTGCATGATAGTTTCATCCTGCATTTGTGGATGCAGTGACAAACGTGTTCACAGGCAGTGGTTTTGGGAAGTGTTCCTGAGCCCATTCAGTGATTTCCACTATAGATTTGTCTGTTTAAATGCAGTACTAACTGAAGATCACAGCTATCCAATATTGGGTTTTGGCCTTGTCCCTTGCGTACAAAGATTTCTCCAGGTACCCTGAATCTTTTAATGATATTATTTACCATAAATGATGAAACTCCCAAACTCTATGCAATATTGCATTGAGGAACATTATTCTTAAATTGTTGTTCTATTTTCCCGCATATTCTTTCACAGAGTGGTGAACCTCTCCCCATCTTCATTGCACAGAGACTGACTCTCTGGGAGGCTCTTTTTATACAGTCATTGCATTCGGTTTTTATTTACATTTTGCATGGCGTCCCAACTTTTTTGGGAAATGGGGTTGTAATTCTCTGAGAGATATCACTTTGCATTCTCCAAGTATTGAGATACTTGGGAGCACTAGCTGATGTTTCAGACATAAAGCAACCACACTGTAATGCTGTGGGTTCACAGCCTGTGATCCTAATGATGAATGTTCAGTGTTTTCTCTGTGGGTATTCATGTATGAATCGCTTACCTTAAATAAATCAGGCTGTTTTTATGCCATTCAAAGAAACACATAATCCCTCATCATATATAGCTGAGACATAGATGTCCTGATCTCTACAAATGTGTACTTTAGCTCCTTAATTCATGTTTTTCTAAAGAGTCCCAGATGTGTACTACACTTACAGATACTTTATGCCCATTCAGAGTTGTTTCGATGGCTTAATTATACATGGAAGCAGTTGTTGGCGGTGATGTGAAGTGGTCACACCGCTGTAGGGTTCCTTTAGAACCTCTCAGTCTCAGGAAGCTGTTGGTCTACCATCATAAAACAAAAGAGATGCAACAAGTGAAGGCAGCACTCAGAAGTAGAGGCTCTGTAGAGCCAGAGGTGGTCCTGAAACAGACTAGCCCTAAATGGGCGAAGAGTGACCCATCCTGCCTGGATCTCTTTGGGGCCTGTAATGTAAAACCCAACAGGATTTTAAACAAGCCACTGTCATTTCAACAAAGAGATAAGAACGAGCGAGAGGTCTCTGACTAACGGGCCCAGCCTGTCACGATGATTATTCCCTTTTGCTTCTGAGCCTGAGATCATCAATAACTCCTGGAGAGGACCCCACAGGCTGGAGATGGTCTGGCAGAGTTTCCCTGTGACTATGCTGATAGCTTAGAAGAGACAACCTTTTTAGCACAACATTAGAAAGTGGGAAACGCGAAGACTCGTTTTTTTAAATCACACATTCACTCTGGGATCATATTTTGCCTCATTCAGCAAATCCTTCAGCATCTGCTGCCTGAATTTAAAGACAGACTTCCTTTTCAAGTGACACTGACTACGGTCCTGGCGGGTGGCATCTCGGGCTGGCAGATGAGGAGCGATTCAGTTTGTCGTGTCAGGCTGTGACCTTCTTCCTGCGAACACTGTGTTATTTGTGCTCAGAAAGACATGGAAAAGGTGTTGTGTGCAATTATTGTGGGCAAAGGAATGAGTGTGCCCTTGCACACCTGTAACCTGCCAGTAATAATAGCGAGAGACTAAGTTTTGGGGGTAACATGTTGGGGGAGGAGGGCAGGGAACCAGCAAGGGGCTCACCGTCACACCGTCTTCCTGCAGGTATGGCATCCACGCCCTCCCCGTGTCACTGGCTAGCAGCCGGAAGCTGGTCACCCAATCAGAGCTGCCAGAGCGGCCCTGTGTAGCCACTCCAGTCACCTCCAGCCTATCGCGCAGGTCCAGCTGCAGCCAGGGGTTCCGGTCCTTGTGCTGGGGGGACCAACCCCCAGCTCCTGTGTGTGTGGGGGGGAGGGGAGGGCAAAAAGAGTACGGGGGTGAGGTACAGTCTGGTGAACCTGGGATAGAAGCACAAGAAAGGAGCTGAAGCCGCCAGCCAAAACGGTTGCGTTTATACTTCACTGTGGTTAACCCAATATGGATCACATGACCATTTCAGTGTGATGTCATCTCATCCTGCTAGAGTAGGCCAAAGTATACAAAAGTCAAACATTCAGTTTCCATTCAAGTGAAGGAGAACCAAAAACCACAGATTTCTCGACTTAAACCTACCTGGTCTGCAGTTCTAGTCATATTCTAGAGTTTACTTTTTTTTATTAATTGGAGACCTGAAGCAAGAATGAATGAATCAGTCAAATACAAACACAAAGCTACTGTAAGGAGTCGCTCAGCGCCAGCGCTCTTCGTGACCACAGATCTTCTGCTGGAGAGATCCAGCGTTCAGCTGCATTCAACTAATTGTGTTATTCATGGTCTGGTTCCTCCCTGGAAAGGCCAAGCATGTCTTCATGTCAAAACCATTTACCTGACGGTTAAGGAAAGTTGACTTCACAGGCAAGCAACATCCAGCATGCCGATGAAGGATCCTTAGATCCAGAGTGTAACAGCTGAGTCACAAACACCTGGAGGCAAGCTTCTTTGGTGGCTTATTTCAGAGCCTCTGTTTGCTCAGGGCCGGACGGTGCAGATAGCCATCCCTGACTGTGCCTGAGTGAGCTACAGAAATATACTCCACTACTCTCAGGCTCCACTTATTACAACTGAGGATTCCAAGTGGCTCTTTCTGACAGGATGACAACTTGAACAGTCTTGTTGTTTCCATGATCCATAGCAGATTCCCCTAGAGCAGATTCCCCTAGAGCAGATCCCCTGGAGCAGATCTCCTCTGCACCAGGGAGTGTTATGGTCATAAATATGTGCCCTGCAACATGCAAAGGCTCACATTCATGTCAAAACGGGGCAGCTCTAATAAAGTGTCTGAGCTGAGCCAAGATGACCAGGATCCATAATTTCCCCAAAGTGGTGCATGTGGAGGGCTTCCTGGTGTGTCTTGGCCATACTGTGTGCATGTGTGGTTTGACACTTCTGTCCAGAAAGGGCAGCGCTGAGTGTTCAAACGCAGAAGAGAGTCTTTATCTGTGTGGGATCAGGAGTGGTCCCCCTGGGCACCCAGCGTATCTGGGCACCACCGGTGTATGTGGGGGGTTTTATTCAAAAGTGCCCTTTAGCATTTAAAGTTTTCTGTTCCTAAAGGTAAAACTTAAAAAAAAAAGTCTCCTCAGTTAAGTCGGACTGAATGGTTTACCTAGAAGCAATCAGAAAGCCCTGCCACATGATTCACTCACCCTCTCTTTTATTCAGCCTGGAGAAATGTGGAGCGGTGCCGTCAGAAAGCTGTGATGAGCCCTCAAACGACGTCGCAGGCATCGTCGCCCCCAAGGGTCCGTCGCAGTTATCTGCAGGAAAAACAAATTCACAGATAAGCAAATAAATCGTCTTCAGTATGAGAGGCACAAGAAACAATTAAGAGCGTATCATCCTTCCAAGAAAGAAGAAAGCAGTTTTGTAATCAACTGAAATAAGTGCAGTGCAGCAGTAAAATGAAAAGGCAGCATTATTCTATAGCCTGGCTGCTGCCAAATACACTGCCTGCTTGTTACAGGACCAGAGCTGTCATCACGCCACCAAGGCCTGAATCGCCAACACAGCACATTCAATTATCCATTAGACTCACATATTGACTTGAAACTGTTTTTGCAGAGTACTAATTGACCTCTGTCATCCAAAAAAACAGCAATTATGTGCTGAGATTTACACAAGCCTGTCAGCAAATTCTGGGTGTGATTTGAGGCTGGGGGGGACATTCAAATGGGGAGTAAACGTGCTGGCAGCTGGGGGGGGGGGATTATGTCAGGGGGGTCGGTGGGGTTTGTTTGCACATGGAGTCAACATGGTGCCACATGCAGAAGCATATGAATGGGGAGTTGGTGCTATGATCGTTAGAGGGGGTTTTGATCAGACAGAGAGTTGGCATGATGATGGCTGGGGGGTGTTCAGATGGAAAGTTGGCTTAGTGCTATCTTTGTAGTAGCATTCAGATGGGTAGTAAGTTGGCTGAGAGACGGCTGGTGGGGCAGTCCGACAAGAAGTCGGTGTGGTGATGGCTGACGTTGGGACAGGGAGCTTGATGATGGCTTGGGGGCGGGCTATGTGTTCGGATGAGAAGTTGCTGAGGTGTTGGCTGGGGATGGGTGTTCAGATGGGAGTTGGGTATCCTGATGCAGAGCCCCCCCCCTCCCCAGCTCGGAGCAGGCACTGAGTCAGTGCCTCATTTTTTTCACCATGACTGGCCTGTAAAATCCTTGCTCATCACCCTGCTAATTAGCAGAACACCAGCTATTTTCCAAGCTCCCTTTGGGATTCCCGTGTCCCCCCCCCCTACTCCATCAAGCTGCTATCTTAGTCACTTGAACCCCTGAGTGACCTGTCCCTGCCTGTGAGGCACTGATCTTCCATACCCTGGGATTACCCCCCACCTCTCCATCCACCATGTATGCCTTAGGGGTGCCATGGTAACGGACACCAGAAGGGCTGGGTTTTCAGCAGTAAGGAGGCCCATCTACTCCGTAGGGAGAAAACTCCAACCAGGGGGTGGTCTGAAGATAAATAACTTGCAGGGAATGTGTCTGCAATCCCTCTGTAAGTCCTCATTCCTATTGCTGATTATGCAGCCAATTAATCTTTCAGTGAACCTCAGGATGAGCTTGCCATTGGAAGGCCTGCTGTCTGTCCTCTAGTTTATATGCATAAACATAAAAACAATAGTGAAAAGAGAGCATGAGGAACAGAGGAGTGGAGGAATGAGGAAAAAGCACCAAGTAATAAATGGAGGGATACAGATTAGGGGGTGGCTTGGGACAGGGGAGGGGGCTGATTTGAAAAAGGAGAATGGGGGCCTCCTCCTTCTGCCCTAACACCTTTTTACAATGACACTGTGGATCCTGAAGAACTCCTTGCACACTTATGATGCTACCAAACAAATTAGCAAAGAATGAAGACAGGGTTACAGAGATCACATGGAGGAATGGGCTTTGGTTTCTCTATTTACATCCATCCATCCTCTAGCCCCCTTTCCCAGTGAGCCCGGTGAACCTGCTTCTCAATTTCCTACCTTGAACCATGACTAGCTGAGTTTTAGTCAACCTCTCCCTTTGAATAAAAGAGGCTCATAATGTCAGTAAACTAGAGCCAAGCACCCCACCCCACCACAAGAGGTGCTTCCCATACAAACAGCATCTGCACTCCTCAGAGCTGAACAGAGCTGCAGCAAATCCATACAGCTGGGCTCCAAGAGATGTTTGACCATTGAAATCAGAACTAGATAAAGTTCTACCAACACTCAGGGATTAAACATCCCAGCTAGCGAGATGCTCTGAGTGGCCTCATTTCTTCAGCAGAGCTTCATGTGGTCTAATGGCGTTATCCTGGAAATGAGGAGGTAAAGCAAAAAGAGCTCCAGTCTGTTAGTGCTCAGAAACTCCTGGAAACTCATTTCCACTGGGATGCAAGCAGACACATTATAGCAGCTGCAGGACAGATCAACACTACTCATTCTCCTCAGGGGGACGAGACGTGCTGGAGAAATTAACTGTACCGCGTGATCACCTGGTATTTGGTAGAACTGTACAAGTGAAATGAAAGTATAAAAAAGACGGATAGCATACATAAAGGGCATCCAGACATGCAGCACTATGATCCAAGGTCATGTGGGCTAATAAAAAGGACACTAAGGACCTCTAACCCTGTGACAATGAGGTTCCGCTTCAGCTTTAGGGCGCAGCTCAGCTAAAGGCTGTCCTGAAGCCACGGGAGATGCGATGAATCACATAAGATGTCCACATAAACGGTGCGCGCAGAGGCCTCAGTAGGCTGCTATCTGCTCACGGGGCGATTCTCACTACGCCATACCTCTCCACATGTTAGGAGACCTGCATTAGTAAAGGTTCAGGGGCAGATGAGAGCCCAACATGGCCAGAAAAAGGCAGGGAGGGAATGTTAGGGGTTAAATACAGCTGTGTATCCAGAAGCATCACCCCAATAGTATGAAAATTCAAGAGCCAAGTAACAAAACTATACAATATAACACCGCTATACACTCCTGGGCAAAAAAATGTGCCAAATTGCACAGCATTAAGCTTTGGCCCATTTTTTTTGCCTAGGAGTGTACAATGCCATTGAATAACATCACCTACGCATCTCAATGTAATGCCACAGAGTAATACCACTGTGTAACACTGCTAAGTAACACTGCTGGGTCATTCCATGTCAAATCACACTTTCAGACCTCATTGTCACGGATTTTAACGAAACTTGGCATGCTGATTTGGTCACATGAATAACTCGTGAAACTGAAATGGGGCGTGTCTTGGATCAATATTGGGGGAGATGTAAGCGAACAAACTTTTAACTTTTTTTATGGGGGGGGGGACTATGACACAGAAATGGTCCTCATATTGTTTTAAAGCTATTGTCCAGCTCTATAGGTTGAACAAATAATATGCCATCCCCATATGAATAATTACTATGTAATAACTGATTAAAATATTTAAAATTAAATAACAAAAAAACCTATATTTCAAAATGAATATATATTTTTTTAACTAAAGCTAGCTAATAATGTCATGAACATCTCAAAGTTGTTGCTGAGATATCATTACTTATGTGAAATGTGCATCAAAACCACAGTTCCTTACAATGCTGTCAGCAGTAGCAGAATAGCAGTTAGTGATCAATGTACATGGTACTGGCTTATTATTTTTCATGAAAAGTACAACTATTACCAGAACTAGCTGTGGAAATATAATTTAAATTAAAACAAATAATAAAAAGACAATATTGCCAAAGAAACTGGAAAAAAGAGAATTAATGGTACAATCAGAATAGTTTATTTTTCTCTTTATTTTACACTTCTGACTAGACACTGGCCTACTAAAAAGAGCCTTCGTTTGTCAAAAACCTGAAAAACTAACAAAAATAAACAAACTAGATAGGCTTTTATGCTACTAGAGCAAGGAAAGCATTTCAATCTTGGTGTAATAATGCATAAGTTACATACAAGCAGTACTGTTTAAAGGGAAGGTGGGAATGTAAGAACATTAACAATTGCTATACTGTCAATTTAAAGTCCATCAGAGCCATTGATGCAGCTATTGTGTCTTTGCTTGAAATTGTGTGTAAAGTCGAGTGATTCCCTCAGTGTGCACTTACACTGGACCGATTTGCACACCTCTGATGAATGCAGGGCATTTATTAGCCATATTTACTAGCCATGTGGGCCTTTTCAGTAGTATGGCAAGTACATTTGTCTGCAATAACATTAATGAAGCTTTCCTTAAATTTCAGTGTAGCATATTTGTAACCTTAATTATTATTACACACACCTGTGCTTGTTATACTATTTCATGTCAGTTTGGCTGCCATTAAAATGGCCCATTAGTGATATGAAACCATGTGACGCTACATTTAGGTCAAGATATCTCAGCAACACCTTAAAAAACAAAGACCAAATTTTCCGGAGATGTTCATGACATTATGATCTAGGTTTAGTAAAAAAACGATCAATTTCTATTATTAAATTTTTAATATTTTAATCAGTCATTACATAGTAATTATTCATATGGGGATGGCATATTATTTGTGCAATCTATAGAGCTGGACAACAGCTCTATAGCTATTGTCAATAGCTCTATAGCTCTATAGCCTCAATAGGACCATTTCTGTGCAGCTTATATTAAGGTAAATATAGCCAGTCAAAGTCATAGTCCCCCCCTCAAAAAAAGTTAAAACTTTGTTCGCTTAAATCTCCCTCAATATATAATACTGCTGTGTAACATAGTTGAGTAACACTGCTACACAACACTGCTGTATCACCACTGTGTAAAATCTGTAACACTGCTATACAATACTATGAAGTAAACTCAAATCTAGGTTGTGTATAGAATCAACAGCATCAGTATGGCACAGGTAAGCTATAGCTGCATAACCTATGTTGTAGCCTATGCCATAGTCTGATGTGCACCTCCCCAGTAAAGATGTTGAGATGTTGAGCGGATTGATAGCTGGGCATAAATGTCTGTATGCAGCCCTAAGGGCCCAGGGGAGAAGCCCAAAGTCAGGCAGGTCAGAGTCACCTGATGAGGCTTTTGCATTACAGTGAACTGTGCTCACACGGCACAGCCAATGCTGATGCATTACACCTGCGTGATGCTTCGCGCCCTTGGCCAAGGTACATAGCTTGGACCGTTTCAGCACAAACACCAGCTGTGTAAACTGACAGAGGCAAACAATCCCTCCAGCACATGACCCCCCCCTCCGAAATGAATCGTTAATGTAAAGCATGACCCAAAGAGGCTTATGAAATATGGGATTTGGGACTCTTGCCTCTCAGACTGGTGTG